AATACACTGTTGAGGGGAACAGCTGGCGAGACAGGAGAGGTCTGCTGCATTGTATGTGGATTAACTCCCTGGACGGGGATCGAACTCATGGCACAGTGGCTGGCAATAGCTTGATAGTGGTGAGACTTTAACCTCTGTGCCACCAGGGAGGCCCCCGGTTTGTGTTTTCTTGTGATATCTTTGTATCGTTTTTGGTATCAGTAACACTGGTTACATCAGTCACACGCTCCCCCCCGCCCCATTTCCAGTTTTTGGGAGAGTTTATGAATGATGAATGATTATATCCTTTAAACATTTCGTAGAATATACCAGTGAAGCCATCTATGTCTGAGATTTTTTTTTTTTTGAAGCCCCCACCCCCCCGTAACTCAAAAATAATTAAAAAATTCTCTTTACCCTTTCTCCCACCTCACCCCTATCCTCTTACCCTCTGGTAACATCACTTTGGTTATCAGTGTCTGCTCATTTAATTTTTGCTTTGTCAGTTTATCCAGTTTGCGTCCTTGCATTACTCTTGTATGCGAAATCAACCAATACTTTATTTTTCTGGATAACTTCCCTTTGCCTAATTCCCTCAATTTCCTGCTGCAAATGGCAGTTTCATCTTTTCTGACAGCCGAATATTACTGCATTGTGTATATATACCACATCTTCTTTATCCAAACATCTACCCCTGGGCACTTCGTTTACTTCCATATCTTAGCTATTGTGAATAATGCTGCAGCAAACATTGTGGAGTACATATTCGTCAGATAGGTACCTGGAAGTGAGATTGCTGGATTATATATTTCTATAGTTTTTTTTTTAAAAGAAAGTCCAGACCACTTTCTCAAATAGATGAACCAATTTACATTCCCATCAACAGTGTATAAAGGTTCCTCTTTCTCCGCATTGTCACAGCACTAGGAGTCTTTTCCATGTATGTCATTCTCACAGGTGTGAGATGATACCTTGTGGTTTTGATTTGTATTTCTCTTACTAGAAATGATGAGTGTGTTTTCATGTCTTTTGACTATCTATATACCCTCTCTGGAAAAGTGTCTATTCAGATCTGCCCATTTTTTAATCGGGTCATTTGGTTTTGTTGTTAAAGTTGAATAAGTTATTTGTATCTCTTGGATATTAACCCCTTATCAGATGTGTGATGTGCAGACTCCTCTCATTGAGGAGGTTGTCCAGTCTGTTTTCATTTTTATTTTTCTCTGGGTATTTTTTAATTTCTGCCTTAAGTTCCTCTCTGAAGAAATTGGTGACTGAGAAGCATGTTGTTTAATCTCCATGTGTTTGCGTTTGTGTGAAGTTTTTAAAAATTATTAATTCATCCTCTTGTTATTGTTCTACTTAGATTTTCTATTTCTTCTTGAGTCAGTTTCAGTACTTGTACCTAGGAATCTGTCCATTTCTTTTAGTTTATCTAATTTTTTGGCATGTGATTGTTCATATTCATTTCCTTAGAATCCTTTTCATTTTTGTGGTTTCATTGTTGATTTGGAAATTTAAGTCCTGCTCTCCCACCCTCCCCCTATTAGTCTGGCTAAATGTTTGTCAATTTTTTTATCTTTTCAAGAAACAATTTTATTTCCTTCATTTCCTCTGTTCACTTATTTTGGTTGACTATTACTTCATTCTGCTTGTTTGGTATTTAGTTTTTCTGGTTTAAGGTAGAAGACTACCTTGTTGACTAGATTTTTTTAAATACTGTAATTTACGGCTATAAATTTTCCTCTAAGTACTATGTTTTATAAGTTTATGTTCAGTTTTCATTTTCACTTATAGCAAAGTGTTTTTGTTTCCTTTGCAATTTCTCCTTTGACTCATTGGTTAATTAGGGATGTGTTATTTAATTTTCACACATTTGGGAATTCCCATTTCCTGTTACGGATTTCTGATTTCATTCTATTGTTGTCACATATCTTACTTTGTTCTTTGTTTTAAATTTGTTTTATTTATTTATGCATACAAGAACTGGGGAGTAGGCCGGAGATGCGGGGGGTGAGAACATTCACCAGAGTGAATGTTCAGAGAAACAGAGTGGGGAGGAGAACAGGCAGATCTACTGAAATACACTGCTGAGGGGAGCAGTGGGCGTGATGGGAGAGGTCTGCTGCGCCATGTGGGTTATCTCCCTGGCTGGGGATCGAACTCATGGTGCAGTGGCTGACAATAACTTGATAGCACTGAGACTTTAACCCCTGTGCCACCAGGGAGGCCTTGTTCTTTTAAATTTATTGACATTTGTTTTATGGGCTAGTATAGTCTAATCTAAAGAATGTTCTGTTGCGCTTGAGAATAATATGCACTCTGTTGGGAAGAGTGTTTAGTGACTGTCTCATGTTTAGTTGGTTTATAATGTTTAATTCTTACCTTTTCTTGATAGTTTGCTGCTTAGTTATTCTATCCATTTTTGAAAATGAGATATTGAGGTCTCCAAGTGTTGTTGGACACAGTTGGTAAACTCTAAAACTTCTATTTCATTCTTTCTAAAAAAATAGTTTCTATCAAATATTCTCTAATTGGTGAGATATGTTCATACCTTCCTTTATTTCTTTAGACATGCTTTTTTTTGACATTTTGATCTATATGTAATAGCTGATTTAAAGTCTGTGTAGTAAGTCCAACATCTGGACTTCCTTAGGGACAGGTGTTCAGTTTTACATTTTATATATTGTTTCATAGTGTCTTTTTTTAATTCAAAATTGTACTTTAAAAATAATACAATGTGACAACTCTGGCAATCAGATTCTTCTCCCTCCAGAGGGTTTTTTTTTTTAAAGTGATTTTACTATTTGTGATTCTTTTTTTTTTTTTTTAATTTTTTAAAAGATTTATTTATTTATTTATACAAGCACTGAGGTACAGTCAGAAGTGCGGGAGGGTGAGAGAATTCACCAGAGCCAGAGGAGTGGGGAGCAGAGCAGGCAGACTGACGAAGTACACTGCTGAGGGGAGCAGCGGGCGGCAAGAGAGGTCTGTGTGCCATGTGGGACCCTCGCCTGGCCGCCGGGGATTGAACCAGTGCTGCAGAGGCTGCGGGCAGCTTCACATCCCAATGCTTAACCGCTGCACCACCGGGGAGGCCCCAGAGGGTTTGTTTTTTAGTGACTTTTCTGAACTAATTTTCTAGTTTGTGTTCGTCTTGTATGACCACTGAAATTTCTCAGTTACTAGTTTTAGCTAGTGATTTTATAGAGGTTTCCTTAAATATGTTGAACCAGTAATCTTCCCAGTCTTTGCTGAGGTGTTTTCTGCGTATTGAGACATGCCTTCAATATGCTAGCACTTTGCAGCTATGCTGTAGTCTTCATTTCCTGCTGCGGAGAGCCTCGAGTTAGCCAGAGTCGAGAGATCAGCACTTTCTCAGGTAATTTCTTAGTGACAGCACAGTCCTATACATGTGCCCTGGCATTCTTGAGGCCCAGCAATACACTGGCGCCTTTCAAAGGCCTTTGTGGACATCTCATTCCTTAGGTTTCCTTTAAAACTCTTTGATCAGTCTCCTTTCAGCCCAAGTCTCCGGCAACTGCTGTGGAGATAGGACAATGAGCTCTGAGGTAGGTCATATAAAGCCAAACCTTCAGAGTAGAGCTTTCCATTAAACTGCCAGACAGGTGAAATGGTGACAGCCCTCCAGGGGTAGCACGTTTGGATAGCTATAAGCACATTTGACCTCTCTGGTGGCAGCTAGGCTCCTTGTTTTTACTGTTAACCAGAGTTGTGAGGTGGTTGGTTTTCAAGGTTACTGTAGCACTGGAGGAGGAGGATGGGATTGGTACAAGGTAAAATGACACAAAGGCTGCTATTCTTACCAAGATTCAGCCGTTTTTCTTGAATAAATGCTCCTTAGAATGTTGCAAGTCTTTAGTTAATTTCCAAAGTGTTGAAAAGTTAATTTTGACAATTTTTGGCAGTATTCTTGTTGCTTTTATGAAGGAACAGATTTTCAGAGCTCTTTACTGTGCTCCCCATGAGTGCTTTGTCACACGAGACACCCTTGTGCAATACGAGTCTGTCATAAGCATGCTGTGTTCTCCTCTTTTACTTTGTTTTAGGTTCTTTCTTCTTGTCCATTTGTTTGGTGTCTTAAAGTGGCCCCAAGGAGGTGTTGAAAGAGCACATGTTACTGTAAACTGCTGGTCATGACTCTGAACTTATTGGTAGTGAGTTGTAGTCCTGGATGGGCTGCAAGCATTGAGCTCTTGCTCCTTCGTTACCAGAGTGTACTGCAGACCCAAGGTCGTGTTGATCTGCTGGCTCACTTTCTCATCCTGCCAGCAAAGTATGTCTTTTGCAGAGTCTGCCCAACTTTGTACTCTATCTACTGTGATGACATAAAATCCATTATTCCCCTAAATTAGGGCTGAGAGACAAAAACCCGAATAGCTAACACAGCATTTTCTCTGGATACTGTTGGAATTTGAAGTTCAAGCTATACAGAACATTAATTTTTCCATATCAGATCTTACTGTCCTTGTTTGCATCTTGGGTTTTCTATAAATATATATTTTAAGTCTATCCATTTAAAATCTAAGTTCTCACATATAAATTTGAATTTCTCATATAGCTAGAAGTTCTAAGTTAAGGGTATTTGCTTTTTACAGCTTTTTATTTCAGTGATCATCAGTCTTCAGCTCTGTAACTTGGAAATGTAAGAGCCTGTTGGTAAAAAGTAGAGAAATAATGTGCTGAAAACGATAGTATCATTATTAACATGTTGCAGCATACATTTTTTGTCTTATGTTTGTGTATTTTTTTCTTCTATATTACATAATTTATCCGAGTAGTCTAAAATGTGACATTAGATGGTATTATGACAATTTTGAAATCTTGAAAGATAAAACTCGAAACATTTGCTTGTATTTTTTTCACCTCAGAGTGTTTTGTTAATGAGACATTTTATACTGCCATAAACCCAGGGCAATAATAAAGGTGTTGATTGATTTTTGGATGACAAGGGGCTTCTCTAATTACAGAATTTGACATTTGTGTCACTTCTGTTTTAGGTGAGCAAGACGTGGAAGGTGATTGCAGAAGATGAAGTGCTCTGGTTCAGGCTGTGCCAACAGGAAGGGCACCTTCCCGAGAGCAGCATCTCTGATTATTCTTGCTGGAAGCTCATCTTCCAAGAGTGCCGAGCCAAGGAACACATGTTAAGAACCAACTGGAAGGTAGGCAGTGGCCAATATTGTCACCTGTAGAAGAATAGCCTACAAAGGGCATAGGATCCATGCCCAGGATTAAACAGTCTCCCATTATAGCTGGATTTTAGTGGCCAGAAGCCGAAAGAGAGGGGTAAGGTGCGGGCCGCTTAGGTGTTTTGCTGTCCACTTTGTTTGCCGCTAGCACATCTACTTCTATTTTCAGCCACACTGTTTGGGAGCATCCTGTTCTCTGGGAGAGAAAGGGTGAGGTTGGGATGCCAGTGACTCCCCTCTGGTAGCTGGGGTCTTTGGGCAGTGCTCAGTGCAGCCCCTTTCACTCTCCTCAACTCCCTAAGTGGATGGACCAAGAATGCAAAAGTGCCACCTGAATACACAAGAGGAACTGAAAATGCTATTTCCAGTAGTTGTAAGAGGGAGATTATTAAATGTCTCTAAGTCCTGTCTTCTTTTCCCTCACATAACCTATTGGCTCACTTCCATAACATTTATCACTTCACCATCTCTACAGAGATATTAGATCACAGCTAAGAATTTGCACAGTGAAGTGTTTCTATAGGAAATAACTGTTAAGAACAGTGTTACCTAAAGCCGCTTCAGGTATGACGCGACAGCAGCGTCGTGGAGTGTTTCTCCCCAGCTGGGCGGCTGAGTATTCACTTGCATGGGAGGAACAGAATGCTGCTCTTTCTTCTCCTGTAAAGGTCAGTCCTAATAGACTTTGAGAGTAACAAGCTTTTGCTTATTACTGTTGGTGACACACTGTCTATGTGCTTGTCTGTCCCCAATCACCTTATAACCTGACTAGCGACCAATGCTCCTGATCTGGGCAACCTCATGTAATTTCTAGCATAGTTAGTAAGAGCAACATTTCTCTAATTCAAGGTTTTTCAACCTCAGCACTGGTGACATTTGGCATCAGGTAATTCTTTTTGGTGAGAGCTGTCCTGTGCTTTACAGCGTGGTAAGCAGCACCCTTGGCTTCTACCCACTCAGTGCTAGCAGCGTTATCTTCCTAACCCAGTTGTGACAACCAAAAATGTCTTCCGAGGGCCTCCCCGGTGGCGCAGCGGTTGAGCGCTGGGTTGCGAAGCTGCCCGCAGCCTCTGCAGCGCTGGTTCAATCCCCGGCTGCTCCCCGGCCACCGGAGGCGGGTCCCGCATGGCGCGCAGAATCTCCTGCCGCCCGCTGCTCCCCTCAGCAGTGTACTTCGGTCCTTCTGCCTGCTCTGCTCGCCGCTCTGGCTCTGGTGAATTCTCTCACCCTCCCGTGCTTCTGACTGTACCCAGTGCATGTATAAACAAAACAAACAAACAAATAAATAAATAAAACATGCCTCTATTAAAAAAAAAAAAAAAAAAAAAAAAAACAAAAATGTCTTCCGACAACGTCAGATGTCCCCTAATGGGCAAACTTGCTCCCTTTTGAGTATCGCCTTTCTAAGGAGAATTAGCATAGCTATACTTTCTCAGACCACTAAAATATCACCCCTGCATAAAATCATGCTGGCCCCAGTGTCTGTTTGCCTCAGCACCAGGTAATAAACTTGGGTGAAGGGGCCCTCCAGCCTTCCTGACTGTGTGCTTGATTAGGTCTTTGTGAGAGACATAAGAGGCAGATGTGAAGATTTGACAGAGAACACTGACAGAGAACAAACTGGGGGCAGAAAGCAGAGGGCCTTACCCTGGTAGCGGAGGTTGTAACTTAAGGAAAACTTGGGGAGTTCGGCATAAACTCGGGCCTTTCTGTTTGGACAAGAGGGACTCCTTGGCAGTTTGTGTGCATGAGAACCAGAGCTGTTCAGTGCACCTGCCTCATATTCAGAGATGTCAAACTCGGAGAAAGCAGCATACTTTATTTCCTCTTCGGTAATAGAGTGAGGGAGGAAGACAGGTGCCTCCTCCTCTTTGGGGCTGGAGATGCAGAAGTGAGGGTGTGTAAAGACCCACCTGGTAACACCTACACTTCCTAACAGTATACAGGGTACCTGTCATTTAACCGAATGCCACCTGACCGTTTTTCTCTACAAAGCACAAAAGCATATGCTTGCTGCGTGCTCAGTGAACGAGTGTCGCTCGCGCGAACTGGAGTCCACCTGCAGGCAGAATGTGAGGCTGACTTGTCTCCGCCCATTTCCTACACCACTGCAGTGAGGGCCCCAAGGGAATAGGTCGACAGTCATCTTGCATTGACGGTGTCTGTGGAGTCCTTGCTGTGACTCTAGAGTGAGAGAAAACAGGACCAGGAGAGGGAGTGTTGGAGCAGCTCCTACTTTGTGTGCCTTGGTTTGCTCATCTAGGGACTGGGGCTGGCAGTGGCCCTGCCGCGGGGCTGGGATGAGGGTGGCTTTCATCTTGGTCTTCCTCCTTTTCTTCCAATACCTTGTTCCTCAAAAGAGCTTTTCTGTTCTTGTAAATTTTGCTGCGACTCTCACACGGATGACTCAAGACCTTCCCGTCTGTCCCCACATCTCCACTAGCAGGACAGCTCCACTTGGACGTCACGAGCGATGTCCCTCAGCTTTAGCCTTGGCCCTGGGATTAACTGCGATCATAGCGCAGATTTTCTTGTACAGCGCCTGGAAAACATGATGGTTTTAATGGAATGGATGTCTCCACCATGCCCCTAGTAATACAGATAATGACAGTAGCCACCATTTACCGAGCATCTGCTGTAGTGCAGAACTATGTTTGACACTTACACTGTTTCTAGTCCTTGTGCCCAGTCCAATGAAGTTGGAATTACTTGGTATTCTTGTGTACTTTTATTTGTGCTTCTGTTGGGCATAACTGTCCTGCTCTTTCCAACATCTCACATGTAAATACTTTACATTCCTCCAGATACCCTTTATTTTTATACTTTTAAAATTATATTTTCTGAGTCAATAATAACGATCACTATTCATAAAAGGGCAGTAGTGGAAGACACTTGCCTCTCTCTACCTATTACACAGTTCCCTCCTCAACCTGTGTTAAGGGTTTTAGGGTTTCCTTTAAATACCATTTCCACAACCCTTTGATCGCTCAATAAGAAATAATGTCTTTTTTTCCTTTCCCCGTCATAGTCTTTATTTCTCTGTATATACTTTTCCATTTTATTTTGAGAGCACTTGTAGGGGTTGTTAACAGGGTAAATATCATTAATTTCCTATGAACTGAACTTTTTTTATGCACTTTACACTCTTTCTCAGATATTACCCCAGTCAGCTGTGGAATGTAGTTAACTCGTGCTCACCTGTTCCCTTTATATCCTTTATCCCCTTGACAGGGGCGGTGTCTTGCACATCCTGTGTCCTCTAATTCATGCTTACCTTGTGTATGGTAATTTGTAAATGCTTAGTAGCTTAATCTATTAGTTGCCATCTTGGACAAGGTGGGTGAATGTGAGGTGCTTTGTCTTGGGCTGTCCCAAGGAGAGTATAAATTCCATCCCCTTTTCCTTTGCAGAATCGCAAAGGTGCTGTGAGTGAGCTGGAGCATATCCCGGATGCAGTGTTGTGTGATGTACGCTCTCACGACGGCGTTGTCATTGCCGGGTAAGCACAGACTTTCTCACCGCGCCCTCTCGGTCTTGAGGGCTTTCGTCTTTTATGTCCCACCCTCTCAGTCCCAGTGACCTTTCTGTCCCACTGACCTTATCGTCCCTGGAGAGTTCGTACTTTCCCATGTGCAGCCCCCATTTAAGATGGAAGAGCTCCATGATTCTGTTCGTTGGTATTTGAGAGCGCTGAAGCTGGTGGTGAGAGGCGAGTCGTGTGGAGCAGATCTGTAACCCATTTGTCTCAATATGTCTCTGCTAGCTTTTAAATCACTCTTGTGGCATGTTATGTTAGATTTTCATTAAGGCAAACAGTTTGTATTTTATGAAGACATAAAAAAGTCAAGTAAGAATAATAAGTGTTGGCACAAGCAGGATCTGTTCTTATTCTCTTGTTCCGAAGCCTTCATTATGAGGCAGGATTGTGACCACACATGATCTCCCTTCCTACCACATAGTGTGTATTTGCTGGTTAATTTGTTCAGAAGTAGGCTTTTTATTTGTCTCCATGGCCAAGAAATTTAATTTTAGCTTCTGTAAATTTCTTTGGCTTCTGTTCTAAAACCCACTTTCATGAATTCTTGATATTTCACTGCATAGGTGTGTACGTGTTTCTTTAATGTACAACGAGAAGATCAGTTTCCTTTTGGATTAAGAGATTTTGAACTACATTCTCAAACTGCATTATACTTCGTGGCATATAGTGGTGACAAGGACACTTCAACTTGTGTATCTGGATTGACTTTGGAACAAACCACCCCAGAAAGGTTCCCACCTAGAGGAAAAAGAAAAAAAGCAAACCTTGGGGTGAAGCAACTTATTAGTAGGAAGTCTTTTTGTTTAAAACAAAACTTTCTTTAGATGCATTCCTTACAGAGCAGTGCTTGAGCTGAAACTCTAGTGGTATTATTTTAATATTTTGTGGTATGCCATATCTGTGAAAAAGTATTTTTGCTTCAAACAAGATATGCCTGGGGCTAGCACTTTCTTTAGCTTTAGTTTTATGGTTCATGCCCTTCTTGGGAGTGCTGAAGAATTATTTTTAGAAAGATTAATGGCCCAGAAATCTGAATTCTATCCGTCTAGGTATCAGTGGGGCTTTAGGCATCTGCCCTTCATGCCATATCCTGGGTGTAAGAGTTCATAATGTCTTAGATCCTTTCTGCCCATTAATTCAGAGAATCTATGGCAACTCTGAAAGGTACTTACATTGTTCTAGCTTAAAGGGTCTCTTAGTGTGTCAGAAGAAGACAGAAAGCAAGATTGAAAAAAAGTGATAAAAGAAATTAGAAATAAAGGAGACTTTAATCTCAAGAGCCAATCATGAATTTCCCGTCTGGACATGGACCTTACAAAAGACAGATTGGCCACGATGGGTCCAGATGCCAATTCTGCCTATCCTGCCTCTCCATTCCCTTGAGGTCTGTGCAGTATCACAGTTTATGCTAGCACAAAGCAAAGTGAAGGCAGAGTTTTGTGGATCGATAGCTGAAACTTGATCTATGGGTCAGAGAGGCTCCTCTGGCTCCTCTTTCTAAGAGAACCTTAGGTTTATGGCCTAGCATCAGATACTTCACTCTTGCTTGTATATAGAGCATCTTGTGTTTATCATTAAAATTTTATCTGGTGGTTACGATGCTTGTTTTCTGGGTCAGATCTTGAATCCCTTTTCATTTGAGACATCGGTGTTTGTGGTTACCTCATTCCCAATCAATGTTGTATTCACCAGGCTTTCTGCAGTTATGTATCTCCAAGGAGCTTCTTAAAGAGACAGTGGCCTCCTCATCATGTCTTCCTCTTGTACTTACCTTGCATTTTCTTATTTTTTCCTTCTCTTCCTCATTCTCTTTTAAAATAAGTAGAATCTGTTTAGAAGTTTAGTTTTCTTTTATATCAAGAACTAAAACTATGTGACATTTTTGCATTTAAACCTATTAAGTGCATTTTATATAATTGGAGAACAAAGACTGTTGAAAAATCTCTTGCTTCTTCCCAGCTTTTTGCGTCTCTGTATAAATGTTCCTGGTTTGGAGTCACATTGCTTAGGTCTACACTGAATTTTATTACAGTTAGCCTGCAAATAATACCGTCTTTGGGGCCTTACTCTTCACACACAACCAGAGTAAGCTTTAGCTGCTCATTCACGCACCTGAGACGCTGGTGTTTCTGTAGGGTGAACAGGACCGGGCCCCTGCTTGCCTGAGGCATGTTTTTCCCGCAGAGGAAAGAGACATTATTCTCTGGACTTTTTGTCCTTCCCTTTTCTGTCCATAAGCCTTTGCTTCTTTTGCTATTTCATGGATGATAATGTCCAGTGATCTTTTCCTGACGTTCAAAGCCCTTTGAAATTTCTTTCCAACCTACCTTTCGCCTTATGACTATCCTCAGTGTACCTTTGGTTTTTTTCTTTTTAACTGAGATATAATTCATATACCATGTAATCCACCCTTTTAAATCATATGTCACTGATTTTAGCATAGTCACAAATTTGTGTAATCATCCACATCTAATTCCAGAACATTTTCATTACGCCCAGAAGAAACCCAGTCCTCATTCTTTAAGGCTCAACTTTAGGCACATCTCCTCCCACAGAGAACTACTGGAGAACTACAGAGAACTCCACTAGCTGCTTACCCCACTGCTCCCTACCAGTATCTGCCCTCCTCATAACTCCCCGAGAAGTGATTCTCTGCACCTTATAGGGCAGTTTGTCATATGGCCTCTTGGTTTCACCTAAACATTTTTGTTTATATCATTTATTTTGAAATGATTTTTAACTTTCAGACATGTTTTCTGTCCAGTTAATTTGTCAGCAACCTTTAAAATTAAAGGTGATATGTAATATTTCACTTGGTGCCCAGTTGTGCTTTGTACATTGGTGCTTTGTACATTGTATTGCCTGAATCAAGTATCAACATATAACACACAGACTTATTTCTGTATAATACATGTTGTGTAAGAAACTGAAAAAAAATCACTAATTTTTTGGTCTTTTCTCTGATGTTTTGGTTTTTTCAACTTGGACTCAGTTTTAAATCAGGGAGGAACTTCAGAGTTTATCTGTTTCACAACATTCATTTTGTGGGAGACAGTGAGTCTCAGAGGTCTGACCAGCCAGCACTGGCTCGGGTGCACTGTCCTGCCAACTGTGCACCTGCCAACTGTGACACCGGGCTTGTGCGACATCCTTACGCAGGGCAGGGCAGCGGGGCTGCCTTCTCCATGCTGCGCTGCTGGCCTGTCTGTGACAGCACTGTTCAGTCGTCCGCTTGTGGCACATGTCTCTCTTTTCTGTTAAAAGCAGTAGTAGAAGCAGGTTGCTTTTGCATAGCTGTTAGAAAGTGGAGACAAGAAAGCCACCTAAACCCCAGCCTGCTAGTACAGGCTTAGGGTTGTGTGTAGGGTTTATTTTTTGATTGTTTTTTTAATACATAGTTTCAAACATCATCCTCCTAAACCTGCATTACATTTGTGGCCATTTTTTCCCCCTCCTTAAACTGTTTAAGGTTTTTTTCATGTTACTGCATACTTTTCATTACTTTGATTTGTTGTAAAAACTCCTAGGATATACTGGTGTCCTAATTTTCTTATTCATTCCTCTAGTATTGGACATTGATTTCCTGTATTTTGCTATATATATATATAATGCTTTCCATATTTTATGTACAGAGGTTGGCAGATTTTTTCCCCATTTAGTACTACAAATCTTTACAGATTATAAAACACCTGCTTATTGTAGAAACCTTGCATTGCAATTAAATATGTAGAACAAAGAGTTAAAATTCTTCTATTGTCCTCCCCTCCTCTGGTTATTTTCTTAGGCTAAGAAGCATCAAGGATTTAGAGAATGTGAAATTGGCGACTATAACTGAGATGAGAAAGCATATATTGTACAAAAATGAAGAATGATGTAAAAAATACATAAAAAAATGAAAACCAACTAAATAAATAGAGAATGTGCATTCAGTATTTTTTTAATGTCTCTGTGCATGAGGAAAATATATATGGAGTGAAAACTCTTGCTTCTGAAACCCGTATCTCTGAGTATCCTTAACGCATCTTTAACCCACTGAGCGCCTCTTGGTCCCTTCCACTTGCTTTTCTGTGGTCTCATTTGGCCTCTGGCAGTGATGTTTAGTACAGGTTTAGGGTTGTGTGTAGGGTTTTTTTTTTTGGTTGTTTTCTTAATGCATAGTTTCAAACCAGTTTTCTTTGCTGGAGAGTTAAGTTGAGACTTAGTAATTTAGACACAACCTTAAAATTTCCCATTTCTTTAATGAATAAAATTTGTGTTTAGAAGCCACCAGTCTCTCTGCAGTCAGACACCTGTGTCTTAGGTTCATCCTCTGGTAACACAGCTGGAACGTAGCGAGGTTTAATGTGTGCTTTCCTTGCATTTTACAAGAGATGTTACCAGGAAACTGTTGATAATAAGTGATTAGGAAGAGTGGGTTTTGTTTTGTTTTAGAATTTTTTTTCAAATTACATGTTTATCATTGAGGAAAAACAATAGAAGAACACGGACCTGACAGCATCCCTGTTCTGTTTTGTGATGCTTGGACTTGTAACCTTGAAAATAGATGACATCATGAGTTCAGAAAGGTCACATTTGAAAACCTGAGATGTAGGGCTAGGTTTCGTTTGCCAGAGGTGTATCTGCTCTACTGCCACCTGGTGAAGGAGCGTGTCTCAGGTGTGACTTGCAGGAGAAAGTCAAACCTGGGCTCACTGGAGCCTGTGCTGGCCCTGCTAACCATTAAGCTTTTAGCTCATCAGAGCTTTTATCAGACGCCCAGGGGTACAGTGGTGTCTGCAGCAGACTCCCTCCTCGCTGTATTTAAGATTCATAAGCCTGCAGCATTCCGGTCTGCACAAGCCAGCACGTGTGCTGTTCACCGCGGAGGACCATTGCCCCCTTTCGGTTTAAAAAAAATTCAAGAACCCTCTTTGTGTTGAGGTTTTCTCAACACTCCTAAGTGTTTTTCTCCCTCAAGTGAT